TTGTCTCCCCAAAGAAGACAGGGTGTGAAATGTAACGTCACTAGACTTAAGTTCCGTTGTCGAGTATGAGACTGTATGTCAGCACAAGGCAAGGATACGACTGGCTGTGCTTCTTTTACCAGCAGAAATGCAAAAGCTAAAAGTTACTGACACATTGCGGCAAGATTGATAACTGATTAAATCTGCTTTACTGGCTATGTGAAAAATGTTTTAAACGTAGCCGGATTCACCAGCAATATTCATGCAAAGAAAATTGTTTTAGTTACAGTTTTAAACTCAATTAAAGCTTTGTTTTGGCACCACCAAACTAGAAATACATTATAGGCAAAAAGTTGGAACGCGATATTTTCACGAAGATCTTTCCAACCGGGATTATTTTGATACGTGCCTGTTGAAAGCGCTTTGCAGGAATCACAATGTATCTTCCTGTGATTAATTATTCTGTCTTCACAACAGGCAACAAAACAAAAACAGAAACGAAATATTCCTAAGGTGGGCTAGCTCAGTATATTTTAGTATTTTAATAAACGCTAGAATAAATCGGCTTATATTCAACCTTAACTACAATCACCCTAAACTGCCTATCACGAATAAAGTGATAGAAGTATTTTTTTTTTCATAGGAAATAAGTTAACATATTGATCGCATAACGTACTACCGTTTTCTGCCTGCGAGCAAAGTACAATACCCGTCTCAACAAATATGAACGTATTTAAAGTAACATGATGAAAATTAGGAGTTAGGCGCAGACACAGTAATAATGTAAGTTGTATTGGTCATTCGGATAGTTCTTGGAATTAGAGAAAATGTCGTGCGTTCATTATGCGTGCGTTATGGTTAGTTCGTGTCTTTGTTATGTGGACATTATTATGCCTTTGGATGCCCTTTCCACATGACACGCTCGTGTGCTCACCAGGGTCAATAGAATGATTATGATTGCTTTAAATTTACCCAGAAGTGGTGTGTGTCACCAGCATTTTTAATGCGAGTATTTGCATAAGCTCTGTATTTTTTTTTTGCGTGCGTGCGTGCGGGAAGCATTGAATTCCTGATGCTCTTGAATTCCGAGGAGCTCCTTATGGTAACTGAAGTAATCGCAAGAGAATAACGCTTATATCACCCATTACGCTACCTTTTGACGGCTCTTGAAGCTTATGACGTCATAGGCTCAATGTGCTATTCTTGGGTACGTTGTGATCTAATCAGTGATACCGTAAGTAGACTTGGAGTTCTACACTTTCAAAATTCGAGTAACATCTGCACGCGCAACGGTCACCAGCGGACAAAGTGTGCTGGAGAAAGTAGGACTCGCCACCGAGAGTTGCTGCTGGCTAATACTGTTGAGCTGTGTACGACTCGCCGCCATCATACGCCTGCATGCGGGGTGTGTTGCACTAAGCATGAGTAGCCGCCGAGAGCCACCTGCGGACTAACTATGCAGGACTAGGGAATATAACTCACCAGTGAGAGTCGCCTGTGGACTAGTTATGCTAGACTAAGTTTGACACACCACCGGCGGTCGTCTGCGCACTAAGTGTGCAAAACTAAGTGTGGCGCACCAGTGAGCGTCGCCTGATAACTAAACATGCTGGACTAAGCATCACTCGTCAGCCGAGAGCCACAAAAAGTAATTATGCTGGAATGAGCAGGACTTGTCACCGGCGATCGCCTGGCGAGTAATTGCGATGGGGTAACTCAGATACTTCCCGAAGGTGACTTGCTGTTTAAACATGTTGGACTAAGTATGACTCGCCTCCGACGCCCGCCTGTGTACTAAATATGCTGGAATAAGAATGACTTGCCGCGGTTGATCATCTGGTAATGAATGAGGTAATAGAGTGCACTGTTCATTTCCAAAATGTGCGTGCTATCAGAACAAAGGCTTCTGAGCTTATGTCTGGAATTGTCGGCCCTTCATTCACCATGTTATGCCTCACGAAGGCGTGGCTGGAGAAGGGCATTTCAAGCTCGAATTACTTTCCCCCTCTTATTCTGTCTTTTGAGGCGTTCGAGATTTTGCAAACACGGCTCAGAAATACGGAGGTGGTGTAGTCCCAGCGGGTAACACCTCTTTACGTGCATAGAGAAGGCACAACCTCGGGTCATACTCTAAAAGTGTGCAGGTCGAGAATGCATCTAAAGTTGGCGTCAACCATTTAATTTGGAACTATTACCTCCACCCCAATCTAATTACGATGCTTTTGTGGGTTACCTAAAAGCGTTGGAGCTATACCCAAATGCTTTCCTGTTCACTTACAAGGATATTTTAATATCCCTGGAATAGACTGGACGTTGGATGATGTTCAGACGGGCAGCAGTGCTTTCAGCCCAAAGGTGTCAGGTCTATTAGATTTCATGTACCATAATCGCCAAAAATAACCACCCACATATTGTCCCCTAGCCGAATAACTCACCTGCAAAAACGGAAATAGTGCATCTTTTACAAATGTTTTCTAATAAATGTGTTCGAATCAAAATGGAACATCCGGAATTACCAAGTTCAAACAGTGTAATACGATTAAAAACTTGGCAGGTAATGTACCTGACATTCCTCTGGTGTCTTCGCCGATTCACACTATCAGTCCAGTTGACGACCCTATAACAGGTGTTTCTCATTTTCATCCATCTTTTATTCTTTCAATTTTTATTTGTGCAGGGTTATCGTATTTTTCGAAGCCAGAGTTGCTTCTTATACAGCAAAGGTGTTTACATTGGCCTGTATTCTTATCTACAAAGTTATGAATGGAATACGATTTTGAAAAGCGTATGTCTCGACTCAGCGACGTAAGCGTTTACTTCAGTTGTGTCGAGCGTCATTAATATATTTACACCCAAGCGTGTTTCACGGCCAAACACATAACCTTCCTGTTTTTCATGGGGACGGAGGTGTTGTTTACGAAAGAAATTGCCCTATCATAGGCTTTTTAAAGAGTGAGGTTTGGAAAATGGTCCCCAAAAATCAGTGAGTATCGCTCTTTAGCAAAATAGCTGTTGTCGAGATGAAAAAGTTTATGTATCTCAGACCAAGTCTGCTATGTACTCTCACTAAAAAGACTTTTGGAAGTTCTTAAAATGTCAAAGAAACAAACATGGCGAAAGTGCTCCTTTTTCGCATGATAATTCCGGTTGTATGTCGGATCCAGCGGAATAGGCAAAACATGTTTGCACAGCGTTCCTAGTCACGTTTTTCATTTGAATCCAACGCGAATTCTTTTTTTCATCATGCGCAAAAACATTTGATATTTTAGTTAGTTTTATAGATGACCCCGATATAAAACATGCCTTAGAAAATTAAGCCAAAGTTGTCTGCTGGCTCAGACGAAATTATCAGTTTTATCGTAAAAGGTTGGGGTGACCTTTTATCGCCGGTGTTGTTACACATTTTAACTTGTCGGTACAGTTGGCTGAAATTCCGTCTATCTGGAGAATATCTGTTATAGTGCCAAATTTACAGTCTGGTGATCGTAGCATAGTGAAAAACTATCTCCCAGTGTCTTCACTCTGCAGTTTCCCCGATGTCTTTGGAGTGAAGCTTTAAGAATTTCTTTATAAATACTTCAATCAAAAAATTTCCGCTGAACAGCACGGTATTATAAAAGGAATGTCAATAGAAAACTTCGTGCACATTTCTGGATTATGTTTGGCTATATGTTCATGGCCACCAACAACTTGACGTGATATACTTTAACATGTCAAAAGAATTCGATATGGTAAATTACGATATGCTTCTGCATAAACCGGATGATTAGAGGACTGTTATATGTACAGTTGTTGCTTTTGAAGTTATCTCTTTAGTCGTATGATGTCGTTCGTGTTTCGAGTTTTAAGTAAGAACCCTTCGTTTTGTGTTCAGATGTTCCCCAGGGGAGAAATTTAGGCCCTCTTCTGTTTCTGTGCTTTGTTAATGACATTGTGTTTTCGGTTACAAATTGTATAATGATATTATTTCCAGATGATATAAAACGGTTTCGTCAGGTCCGCTCGCATTCTGAGTGCGCACGTCTTCAGAATGGTGTGCGTGAATTTTATAATTGGTGTCACGATGATAGCCTTCCGCTGAACGAACTGAACACAAAAGCAATTTTTCTTAGTAGAAAACGAGACCCACTTGCCTTTTGCTATGATCTTGATAGCAACGCCAACGATCGTGTTAGCGTTATTCGTGACCTTGGAGCTTTAATAGATAGGGCGTTTAATCACCACGTATTCGTCACTTGTAATGCCTCCCTTAGAGGCTGGGAAACACTTTCTGTCTTCACTAGACAATTTCCTTCGCATGGATGCTAGCTTCGCTTATTTTGTTGTCTTGTTCTCTCAAAACCTTTGTTTGGATTTGTTGTTTGGAATTCCTTAATGCATAAGGCATCATGCTCTAGCGAGTGAGTTCAAAATTGTTTTATCGGTATTTTTTACGATCGATTGTTTAGACGTAAGTGGCACTATAGTTACGAAGGGCTGCTTATTAAGCTCGGTTTATCATTTATGTTTGTTAGACGACGTTATTCTGATATTTGATTTCTTTATAAGGTTGCGAATAGGATTGTCGATTCCCCTGTTTTGTTAAGTTCGATTTGTTACCATGCCCAATCACGTTCCAGCCATAGTCACGCCCTTTTTTACCCGCTCACATTTTTGTTATTTCAGCGTTGATAAAAATGCAAGCGGAATTTAATCATATCGATATTTCACGCCTGGGCATATTTGGTGACATGTCAACATTTAGACGCAATCTTGAGGGCATAAATTACTCTCATAGCTTGTTAAAGTTTTGCTTGTGCATGCTTTTTGCCTTCAGTACATTACCTCTTGTGTAGTTTTGTGTCAATCTGTTTGCTTCCCTGTGTTTTGTCCGAAAAGTTGCTGTTTACCGCACAAAAGGCCATGAGCTCTTTGTGGACACACAAAAATAATAATATTAATATTATAATTAACATTACGGACCTTTTACTGTATAACTCACCGGCAGAGACCACGTTATTACATCTGTGTCGGTTTTTATTATGAGAACAGCGTTAGTGTGAAAATCACACCCTGTATTTACATATACGTCTTTCATTACAAAACAGCCAGTCAGGGGTCTGGATTGGGTATCATTTGCATGAATCTATATAGAAATTTCTAAGACAATACGTTGTATTTTTTGTGTCTATTTTAGCGGATTTCTTCTAGCCTTCAACGTATTGAAAGAAAGACGGGGTTCTTGCATCATCGCCTTTGTTGGGACCCTGCACCGTTATATTCGGTAAGAAGGATTGCGTTTTCTTTTTTTTTTTTTTTGCAATCAGAAAATAATTTTATTTTGGCTTCGCCAACAAATAATGCCGAGTCGTACATAAATAATTGATTTGTGTATAAATTTATGACTAATAAGGAGATAATATATAACCCAGGTAGCACGCCAGAGAGAGGCCTTACTTGGCACAAGCTCGGCAATCCTAGGGGCCTAACTTTGGACTAATACGGATGTACTCTACGGCGTTAGTTGGAACCGAAGTAATTTTCTTGGGTGTTATTTATTCATCTCAAAATTCTGCATACCCAATTCCTGACTCGAAGAGGTGGGCATATTAACGAGGAAACGAGAATGTTGATATGCATGAAATTAAACTAGCAACAGGACAAGGAAAAATATATAATGTATAAGCAAAGTTCCTTTGGCTTTAATCTGACTCGAAGCATAACTGCCAAAATGGCCGACTGAGGAAAAGATGACATGCAGAAAAAAAAAATAAGCAGCGAAGCCTAAATCTAGCAGCTGTTTTAAACTTTGGTTCGCTGCCTGGAACGCGTCTCCGACTTTAGCGTCCTAATCCGTCCTTGCGTCCAAAGTAGTCCCGAAGTGTCAACAAAAGACGCCATGAAAGACGGAGTGTCGTGCTGTCGGATGCGGCGATCCTGGCGATTAGTCGTAAAAATGCCGGCGAAAACCAAGAGCGATTGCAAGCGTCGCTGTCGTTGTGGCGTCGCAACTCCTGGCTGCCGCAGCTTCGCGGAATGTCAAAGTGGAGGTCGACCTGCAACAGAACAGGCGTCAGCCACACACACCTCCGCCCCTGTGACACCTATAGGATCGCGGCAGGCAGCTGCATGACACATTCATGACGACATCAGCCGGTAATCGATGGACCATTTCACTTTTTTAGACGCGCTAAACACACCTGTCGATACGTGTTCCACTCACAATAGATTTAGGCCTAATGAACTCACGTGAAAACGAAACAAGCAGAAGTCATCTCTAACTCTGGCACTTGTTTCGCGTTGTCGATCGAAATATGCAAGATGACAGTCAACCTACCAGCAGTGAAGCCCAACTTCGTCACTTCTTTAGCGAATTATGGCCTTGATGCCCAGATTCTGGCCGAACAAGGTCTAGTTTGGGTCTACAGTGACTTCTGTCTCGTTATGGCCCGAGATGACCACACAAACACACAGTTTGACCGAAATAACTGGGTTATCTGGGAAATATCCACGCAGTAGGCAGGCATATTTTATTTTATTTCTTCGATGGCGTATTTTGAGGAAGAATCATTTATATATTTTTGTTGTCGCCACTAAAAGACACCGTAAATCAAGCGTTTCTTAAAAAAAAAATATTTCAAATCTAATGAGCCTAGAGGCAACCGTCGCATGATTGTAACAACTGAAATACAAACTTGACTAATCAAATTGTGCAGTAAAGTGTACCCTAGAATATCTCACATGTATTGCTTCTACACTAGTATTGTATAAAATCCGTACATAACTGCGGTACTTTTATTTTTTGGTTAATTCTCATGCAAAACCTTTAGCCGAGCGTATTGACCTGCATAGATTAGTCAGAAAATTATTACTGGCAAAGAGTAATAAATTTGTTCTGATAAATAACCTTGACTGTCCGTCAGCCTCGATAACGTAGCGTTCATAAAACACTTAAATATGTTTTCTGGTACAAAATATATTGAGGGACTTTAAACATAGAGAGGTTACTTTAATGCCTATTTTGCCTAATTGAGAATATTAACTTTTCGCGTAGTACCTGGTTTCGAATTTGCTTAAAAAATATGGGAATCCCAGTAAAAATTCCTGCACCTCACCAGGCTTATTTTGTACGCAACCTAACCTAACAGAGATGAAACTCCTATTTCAGGGTCACCGTTCCACTCTGTTTTGTAATCATCTGCTTTTTTCTAATGCCCCTCATCGCATCGGGACCCAATTCCCCTATCATGTATTACCAGTTCTTTTACGAAATAATGAATCACTGGTGGGCCATACTACTTCAAGTAAAGAACATCGTCGGAGAGCCGGAGATAGTAAGTTCACGAGACATTTATATTTCTTCGTGATCATGTGTACAATAACATCAGAAACTTGCGCAAGATAGCGGTGAATATGATGTACTCAAATTCGTCATGCGCACACTTTTGGTAAACTTATACCCACCTTTTTTTTGTAAATACTTTTCTGCACCTGCTTTCGAGAGAAGGTATAGTGTATTTTGTTGCACATATATTAAAATATATAAAAAAAAACTTCCGGTCTTTTGTATAGAATATTTTTATTTAATTTTACATGCAAGCAAAATGTGCAGATACAATTATATATTAGATAACAGAAAGTATAAAACAGAGAGAGGACGAAACACAGACGAGTACATACTTTCATGTATGTACTCGTCTGTGTTTCGTCCTCTCTGTTTTATACTTTCTGTTATCTAGTACATCGTACCAACACGCTCGTTAGGAATATACTATTATATATGTTCACAGATATATTTTCTTAGCTTCATGTAATTCTGCAAAAGTACGCTTTCTTGCGTGACATAATCCTGCCATATGTTGGGGGCTTCGGGAGAGTCTAGCTGTTTCTTTTTTTTTTAATATTTGGCTCCTTTTCTCCCCCAAAACTGGTGTGCTTGAAAAATGAAATAGTTACTAATCTCACCTTGTTGTTACGGCCAGGTCACTCTAAGGGTGTACACACAGAAAAAGCCTCTTGTGAACAATTGCACATTCCAAGGGAGCAACTATAAAGCCCTCTCCCTGCTTCTCCTCCTCCCTCCCGCCCTCCCCCTCCTCCCCTCCCCCTCCCCCCCTCCTCTCCTCAACAAACACACACACAGCCGCCCCCACCTGACCATTGATTTGTGGACGCGTCTACAAACCCATGAGGTTTTGTGACGTGTCGTCAAATGCATGACACGTCTACATATCCATGACCGATGGCGATATGACCCGCAGTGAAGGAGGGCACCTAGTTTGATCAAAATGGGGATTGCAAAGCAGATTTCAACCTAAAAATTAGCAGAAATTCGCCGCTCAATGGAGCCTGTGCCATTGATAGTGTGTGCACTTCTGACATCGCCATAAGCTTGCGTAAAAAATGCTATGTCACTTCACCTCTTACGCTGTGCATATTTAACGTTTGTAAGTCAAGAATAAATGGTATATTGTTAATTCCTTGATTCTTACATCGTTATGAGAAATGTAAATGTCGCTGCTCACATAGGAAATCAGCAAATGTTTCCCTCAAAAAGTTAGGATTATTTATAAATCCTTCGGACGTATGATCATCATTGGTCGGATAAATCACGTGCACAGCGCATTCCGTGTAACACGCATTGGCAATTTTATCAGCACGAGGTCACCATCCCGATCACCCTAAGCATTTGGTTCCTAATTAGTTCAAAATAAAACTGACACCAGATGTTTTGCGCCAAGTTTTCAAACGTTTACGCCAAGCTTCCGAATGTCGGCAAATTTGCATGTGTACCATCATTAACAAATGATGCAACAATTACTATTTAAACGATGTACTTTATATATCAAGGCCAATGCTGAGCAGAATCACGATAATACCTTGAAAATATCTTATAGTACTTGTATCTCTGTATCTAGATACATTTGAGAAATATATTTGTATTTCAGTAGTGCAATACTCCGGTGATTCATCAATTATGTCGTACTACTTTGCCGGGCTTAGGTATCTGGATACATTTGTTGTAAAATATTGACTGGTTCGGGGTGTCCAAGAATTGAAAACATGCAACCACCAGATAACATAATCTAAAAACGCAAATGGAAGGGGGAGGGTTTGACTTGCATATGGCACAAACACGTCACCAAAATTGCAAACAAACATGTGTTCCAAAATTTCGACTGTCGAGTCGGTCGTTTTTCCTTGGTCTCTCATTTCCTGTAGATTCCCTGGGTATCTTGTTCAATAACTCTTTGTCCCCCCCCCCCCCGCCCACCACTCTCTTCCCTCCGTGTCTCTGAGAAGTACTTAAAACAAAATACCTCAGTTGTGAACGCACCATCGCATTCAGGCAGAACTGAAAATCATAATGTGTTGAACAAGAAATGAAACGAAAAAGTGCTTATTTCGGGCCGACCACGCCACGTCTTCTACAAATTTGAAGACGGTGATTACTCGTCTTTAGAAAGTTCAGGACAAATCGACGTGAGGGCGGAAGTCTTTCACGTCCTTTGAAACCCCCAGGAAAGAGGTATCGATGTTCTTGGACTTCGCCTTCAACAAGGCGGTATATATTTCTTTAGGCGGCGGTAGAGAGAGTTTTCGTTTTCGAAAGTCTGGTACTGCACCAACCTCGATGATAAGCTCTTTGAAAGGATAGTTACGCTGATCTGTAAGTTGTTAACATTCGATATTTACAATTTTTTATCAAATAAACATGTGTATTGCGTGAGAATTCCAATGTTCCTATTTTGTGCCACATTTTATACTGGCGATACATTTGACGTTGTTTGGAATGCACGGCATCATTATATGTGTTTGTGGAGCACGGCCTAGTTTGAGGGAAAAAGTATTTCAGTATGTACTTGTAGCTGTATTCCGGGATGCTTCTATCCTTTTGGGGCAAAAGTGTCTCAGGGATCTACCGTTATAAAAACGACAAACCCATCTTAGTATATGTATTTTGGCCTGAATATCCGTGTATTTAAGAAGCAGTAATCCGGGATACTTTTTTGTATATCTCACCAGCCCTACTCAGTTACTTCTTAAGTGTGTTGGTAGGCCTATTGGGACACACTTGTTCACTACCTCTGATATGGTTAAGAAACAATTTTTAATTAAATTACATAACAAAAACTGGTATGGGTTTGTACACATTACCAGAAAATCACGGAACATGAAAATATTTCCAGCCCCTTGTTTGGATTGATAATAAAAATGCACGCTAGAAGGAATAGAAGAGTTTATATCCGACAAATATCGGAAGGAACGCGTCTAAATATTTAGAAATCAAAAAATATTTTAAACTAAGCTTACTATTTTTCTTTTGCAACCATAGTAATGGTTTGTCATGTTTAGAGTTCAGAGATCGTAGGGGCTATATTCTTCATTCCTTAAAGCTCGCTCACTGACTCTTTTCGCAGAGTTGCGGTAATATTACAAATTATTACCCACATAATATATTTAAGTAAATACCTTAATGGTAGTTCAATCTACGTAATGTTTCTGGTGGTCGTTACTGAAGTTAACTCCCGACAAAGTGGATTACCATAGTCACCGTATCGTGTGAATATTTTTTTTTGGTTCGCTTTCGAGGCAGCCGCGGATACTTTTGAATGACTCTAGAGACTCCCCGCAACAGCCACGGTTCATGGCTGAGTTCTTAGTCTTGCTTTAGTAGTCAGTGGTGCCCATACTGTTTTCTTATTCTACACGCCAGTATGATGTATCACTTGTTTGCTTTCTTTAGTCTCGGATATATTCATATAATGAGCGGATTCCGGATTCATGAAGCATTATGCCAGTTTGTTGATTGCTTAAAAATACAATACAATTCTATACTAATATTGCATTTAACGTTTGTTTGTAGGGAGTGTTTTTGCATACCTGGTATCTGTCAGCAGATTTTCAACTTTTTGTTGTCTCTATGGTCATCCTTGTCTCCTTTAGAAGGTAAGCAATATAATCATTGGAATTTGTTATGACGTCTAAAGATCTTGATTGTGCATCCAACTTGTTTGTTAGAAGTTCCTGGTGAGTTCGTTTAGTGTTGCTTTAAAATCGACATACATATTGTGTAAATTTCAGCAGGAGAATTGTAGGCTTTTTTTTATTGCACTTAGATATAAAAGTGTCTTTCTTTTATTTTTCAGAAAACCTAAGTGGGCTATTGTTGTATTTATGCTCATGTCAATCCTGGGATGTTCGGTGACGGCGTGGCAGTTGTACAACACAAACTACGAGCCTTTCCTTCTGGTATTGGCCGAGTCATTCCTGTAAGCTCTGCCTCTTTAAAACGCATCTTTATTAACTGCGTAGTGCTTCGGACGGTATTGTCGTGCAGTTATCTGCGTGGTGAATCTCCGCATCTTGGTACCCCAATATTTTCAACTATGTCCACTTTTAGAAAACGGCAAAGGATACAAATGTTAAAGGGGTTGGTTGTCAAAACGTCTAAACAAGTATTCGTTTTATATTTGTTTTATTATTTCTAAGGTAAGGTTGTATTGGCGAACACTACCTTTAAGCTTCTGAGCCATTTAAATCAGTCAGACGATAAATAACATCCCGTTAACACTTTGTCAATGATCCTTTGAGTTTAAAAAAAAAAGAAAAAATTACGTCAGTGCAAAAATAATGCCCTGAAAAGTACGTTTACTTCCTGTTTCCTCTAACTGGATGCTCATTTGATATACACTATTTTATCTTGTGCTAACCGAATAGCCGCTCAAATAACATCACCCGAAAAGCGCGGACCACATCAATAGAGCGCATAAAAATTGCTTTAAATAAAAGTACTTATATATCAACCTTGTTTTGAAAAGCCACATCTAGATAATAAAACTTAATTGAACTGAATGTGAGGCCTCCATTGTCATTAATCGTACTATGAGGTTAGAAATTTTAAATATGAATCTATAATTTGCAATTGTTTGACGTATCGTCAAATGCACGTTAGAGGAGAGATAAAATAATGTTGTTATATTAATTTGATTTCTCTCACTTGATGGAAGAAAAAGCTACTATATTTAAGCTTGATATTTGGGCTCCTACAACTAAAAACATTGCGTTTTACAAATAAATGCAAAAATCAACGCCTCATTTTTTTACAAAACAGATTATGCAATAAGCACAAAAATGCAAAAAATTAGTTTCACAAGAAATGATAAACAAAGTACCCTTTTTGCGCTTACACGTCCTTAGTTGCAGAATGTAACATTTATCTATTTTGAACTGTACATGCAAATATACACCGGTAAGCAGAGACATCTCTGTTAATAAAAACCGATCACAAAGGGGACATAATTGAAGCTGGCCTTAAGTGATGGAAGGTAATATTTAAACGAGTCAAGACTATAATGATTTCAAATTTTGGCGATTATTTAAGCAAGCTTAGAATCATTTGCATGCCCATATTGCATTTGCATATTCCCCTGTTTAGCTTGAGATCATGCCAGTAATCCGGACTGCAAAGTTCTTTGGCCAATACCGATCAGCGTTTTTTTTTAATCTTGATGATATTTTGACTTACACCGCCCTAAGCAAACGTTTCGATTTTCGTATATCTGCTAAGGTGGTCTAATTGTAGACAGTGCATACTGCTATTTAATTTTGTGTGGTATGATTTTCAGCCAACAGTATCGAGCGTCCTCTCATGCGCTTTCTGTGCACTTTCTTTACCTATGCGAAACATTTCAGTAAACTTGTAACCTGTGACAAAAGAAACGGCACAAGCTTTCTCGTGCAGACCTGACCTTTTAGTTTTAGTGACTAGCAAAACAAAAACTTATCAGATCGACGCAGTTAGTTAAGACGGTTTCCTCTGAAACCTTGTGACAGTGCCCGCTTGTCTCCTATAAATAAACACGAACCATTCTGCGACATTTCAACTTTTATCTTTCATTTCTAACATTCCTAAAGGTGAAGCAGTATATTGATCTACCTATGAACTGTGTAATAAACGGTGTTACCGTCCCGCATTATATCATTACATATATTATTAAATTTTCCATTTTTTTAAGTTTTAAGTTTTAGCAATTAGAAAAAGGTTAAAGCTGGAATACAACATACATTTGAGGAATGCTAGGGTTGGCCTTTTTGTATCGGATGTTGTCGAATTATGTGAATAGTATCTGTTTTGAAACATGGCTCACAATAATTTTTCTGCAAAGCAGAAATTCACCTATCAGAGTAAAAACATTAGAGGACAAAGAGTAAAACAAATATATAATACTAATAGTAATATAGCGCGAGAATATCTGAATATTACTAAATTTGTTTGTTTTTTGTGCTTTCTTTCGTTTAGACTAACAAACAACGTTTCACGAATGCTAATTGCCCTGCTTTGTATCACTCTCCCCTGTGAATTATTTTAACAGTGGCAGAGAGATGTGTCAAAGAAGCCATGTAAGGTTAATATGCTTACATAATTAAAATATATCTTGCTTTTTTTCTACAGTGCCCATGCGGACACATTCAGGAAAATGTACATCCTACCCACCTACCACGCTGCATGTTTCTTCACGGGTTGCATTGTGGCCCTTATTCTGAAGTTATTTGGAGAAGTCAAGCTGTCAAAGGTAATGCATCACTATTGTCATTTTAATAATACGCACTTATTTTATGAACACCTGAATAGTATGCCGTAATCCACTCTACCACACATCGCAAATAAACCGTAAAATATAAAATATATTAACTATGGCTCTGGTAAACAATGGAAGTTCCTTTGTTTGTACATTTAGGAGTGCAGTATGTATAGCACGATATACAAGAAGACTCGAAAGCAAATATAAGGGAAGTAGACAGTCTAAACAAAAGAGGAGTGTGCAATAAACAGGGAACAGTCAAATTTAATCTTGTGTTCCTCCTCTTTCGCGGAAACCTTCATTGCGTCCTACTTTTTCTAAATGTTTCTTCCTACATTTCTCGCTGCTTGACTTCGGCTTTTAAAAGATTGTAGTCTTGCGAACTCGTGCTCCAAAGAAGAGAATAGGCGTGTCCGAATTGTCTGATCGCCAAGAGTGGCTGCTAATGAATATATAAAAAAACAACCAGAAAGCCGAAATGCATGCCGGTCTCTGCAGCTCAAGTAAGCACGCTAGTTGCGCCACTCCTCTCAAAAGAAACATGGCTTTATGGGCCCTGTTTTAGGCTAGGGTTTTCCATAAAACTGCCCTAAATTCTCGTGTCCTGTGACACTGAAGCGAAAATAAAATGGTACGTATTTCAAAGTTTACCTTTCTTTGAAAGGTGTGTTAAAAATCGGATGGAACGATCACGAAGATTCTTCAATTACTTTGTGCTTTTTAGACTACAATGTTGCCTATCACTCTGATACTTCCAGGATATCACTTATCGAGCAGAGTATATCACGGCGGATAAAAATGTATTATTAATTTATGACTGCTATATCCATGGAAAAATTATATGAGCAAAGATTTTGTAACTTAATTATAAAAAAGTGTACGTGCGTAGAATATATGAATTGTATCTTACGAAGTCTATCTTCTTATTTTCAAAGCAAATTAAAAGAAGTAGGTGCAAAACAAGTCTCTAGACAAAAACAGTCTATATCAGGGGTCGTCAGCCTTTTGCAAGCAAACAGTTTGAAGTTCCTCGAACTCAAAAAAATATATATATACTCCTTGCTCGTGAGCTTCTTTACAAAGGATGAGCGACCCCGTCTCTGTGAGGTACGGTGCATATTCTGGCAGTGCTGAGGCCCCTCATATGGTTTGTCTCGAAAACGAAAGATTCGCAGGTAAGATTAGCATTATTTTCGCTCGCTGGTTGCGCCATGCAGATAATGACTTTAAGTCAAACCTAGGAAATTTTCTAGTGCTTGCTAAATCTCTGAACACGATCGGTAGAGTATGATAATTAGCAGGCAACGTACTTTCCGACGAAGTAATTATGTGGGCAATTTTACAGGGTAGAAAATAGAAAAATGTAGGAGCTTTAGTTTGCACTGCATACATAGACCCTATTCAAAAGTGACGAGTGATACCTAAAGGTCTAAATAATAATAGGTAAAGGCACATTTGCAGAAATATCGCCGAATGGCCAAGTCTAAAACTACTTAAGATGGCAATAACCTGGAGTGTTAGTTCGTTTTAGCATTGGTTGTAGGGCGCTAAAAGCGCAGTAGAGGCACACCTAAAGGAACATGCAGGAGAAAACTTACCTAAGGTTTGGCAATTCAAGGGTTCGAATCGGGGCCTAATAGAAGTTTGCTCGAGAGCGCTCGGTAGAACTTAGTTACCTTAAATTGTCCTAAATAGCAAAAAAATAAAAATACGAAATGCCTTATTCGAGCAATTTTTTGGAGATTCAGGCCCGAAAGTGCCAGATGAGATGGAAACAAAACAGCCTCGAATATTAACTATAAACTTTGCTTAGGATTTGAGACCAAGGATGCCGGGCGATAAACGAACATCCAAACAGTTAAGTTTAACTCTGGCAGTTCCTGGGTGATTTAAATTTGAAAGGAATCGACACTCTCTCAATAAAGAATCAAGTCTGATTTTACTTTGGTTACTTAGGGTCTTCATAATTCCGAATTCCCAGGCCAAAACTCTATTTTAACCGAAAGAAGAGTGCTACCTAAGACATGTATGCACAAAAGAAAAACCGAATTCAATGCGCTTTCAATGTGCTTGTTCGGTTTAGCCAAGAACAATAAATCCCCAAAAAGAGAGGAAAAAACGCAAAAACTGCGGTTTTGCGATACATTACTGAATTCTGGCTCGCAACTTGAGCTGCATTAGCACCAATTAGCACTTCGGCAAAGCGAAGAACGGTAAAATATTTAGGGTTTCGACTTTTGCGGTGTAATTTCCGTCCACCGGGGCGCAGGAATTTCATAGATTTTAGCATAGGGCGCACTTTTAAATGTCTTCTCTTATAGTATATATCGGAGGAAAAAGGAGGAACAAACAGGCATAAACCTTTGAGTGTTGTGTTTTCTCATCCCATCTTGCTCTTGCTCCAGGATTTACAGACCAGCTGACCTGCCTTTATTTTCTAGTTGGGAGTTTAGTGACTCCAACTAAGACGAAAATTATACTTCGACTATTTTTGCATGACATTACTTGTTTGTTTTTTAGGTCGCACTCCTAGCACTATGGGCAACGAGCCTTTCATGCGGTATGCTGTGCATCTTTATGCGGTACGATTGGAACCGGGGTGCTAAACCCAAAGGACTATGGGCAAAGGTCGCTGTTGGTTTCTTTGACCGACTGCTCTTTTCTGTGTTCCTCGCTTGGATCACGTACGCCTGTGCAACTAAGAGAGGAGGTGAGTGCATGGGTGTGCGAATCAAGCATGGTTTATCCTTTTCAAGCGCAGAGGTATAAAAAACAAGTACAAAACAGTTTCATACGTACATCCTTCCCCTGCGGATACAATATCTCTTGTGAAGTGTTTTGTATCCAGCAGGCTCATGTTTCGCTCTCAGCCGGTAGTGAACTTCATGCGAACTTCATCTCTCAAGTAGTTTTCTTGCACCGGCATCTAGGGTAAACGTCGGGCCGTCTTTGCTTCGTTCGTTGCACATGCTTGTTTTAGAGCGCAGCTCTCAAGCGCCCGTTTCCGGCTTGAGCGGTGACGTCGTCGCCGTTCGCGTAACCGCGCGTTGCGTTATGGGGCGTTTCTCAAATTGACGTCACTCGTGACGTGACGTCATGAGGGTCACGGGTGACGTCACGTGGTACACACGAGGGTCATAAGTGACGTCACGAGGGTGACTTCACGTATGTTGTAAAACAGCACCAAACTTTTTTCGCTAAATTTAGCAGTGAAATTTTCCCGCCAAATTTAGCGAGGAAATTTTTCCCTCACATTTAGCGGCGAAATTTTTCCGCAAATTTAGCGAGTACATTTACGGGTAAATTGTCCCACAATTTCCCTTTAAATTACCCTCCGTACCCTTACGTCATCCTCCTCGAGAGCCGCGCTCTAATTCGCAATTACAGAGCATTGTGAACGTCACTCATTTTTGTGTTCCCTACTTAATATATATATAAATATATATATATATATCTATATATATATATATATATATATATATATATATATATATATATATATATATATATATATATATATATATATATATATATATATATATATCTTTCAATATGTTCTTTCAGCAGGATTAATTTTAAGTACGGTTTTAAATAAGTTTGACAAACCCATTCAACTTGTTTTATCTTATTAAGATCTATGTAGCTCCTCTAACAACAATATGTTAGTTTTTGTTTACTGCATTCACGTATTAGAAATAAATAGCACGAATGTCAAGTACAAACAGACGAAATAGCGCTTTTCCGTCAATGTGTACTGTACATTCGCGCTATTTATTTATAATATTCATATCCAACTAGCCCACCTTAATATTTTAGATAATTAACATAAAGGCATTCGACTATGTATCGCACTCTGTACGTTTTAATACCGATCGTGACAACCGCACAATCGCAGACTGCATTTCCAGTCTATATATAACAGCTGACATATCATTAAAATACATTGTAGCATATTAAATTTTGTTAATGTCATATTTCTATTTACGCGGTACAACTTTGTTTTCACAACTACGCTCTAGGAATGCAGCTCTAAAACAATTGATAGGTTCACGTTCGCGCGCACTGTCCCGACCTGAGTGATTTCTTCGTTATGCTCATAAAGCGACACATATTGTCCACACGTGTTTTTGTTATTATTATCTAAATGTAAACATTCCAAAGTTCAGTTGCGCATATTCAACCTTAATTTCCTGGGGAACATAACAAATTCTAAATACATGGACGTTTTTCAGGGTGGCTCTGCCGTTTTCTATCGTGGGAAGCGTTTGTGCCTTTCAGTAGGCTCACCTTTGGAATGTACCTGATACATTTTCCACTCTACTTGGTCCTGTACCATATTAGCCGAGAGCGCATCTTCTTCTCTCACATATCGTTCGTAAGTATCCACAATCTTAATATAAGGGACAAGGAATTACATTTTTTATCATTGATTTGATATGTAAAGTACTAAGGTTGCCACATTTTGTTTAAGTGCATTTTGTTTTGTTAAAGTATAGATGGTAGGAAGCATGACTTTCTGCGTTTTTTTTATAAACATAAACACTGCAATCTTAGGTTCTGAAAGAATTGTTCTTAAAAAACAAATTTTGAGATCAGGTCTTCACTGGATCGCGAGAAAATATCGCTCGCAGTGCTTTCAATCGTTATTGCTTCAAACACAGATTTCCCTTGAGGTTTGGAATTTCTAATATTACACAATTTGTTACTTTCTTGAGGAATTCTGCTGCGAAATGACATTAGCAAGAATCTCGACGTAATCACCAAAATGCTTAAATTATGTTTTATCAGTGGTAATTCGCGAATCGGGGTAGTATATGCACTTGTTCTAGGGTGCCTGTGTAGCTTTTTAACGAAACAGACATTCCTTATTTCCGTGAAAGATCTACCTGACCTTCATTGATGGCTTCTTTTAAACGGGTAAAGAATAATTTGATATATAGCCACTACGAAATGCTTTCGTAATCGTGCACTCAATGTAGTTAATATACATATTATGTGTGGAGTTTGTGCGCAATATGTCGCAAAACAAAATAATGAACAGTGCAATTTGAATACCTAATTTTTATATACATATCTGCGACAGAAACATTAGTACGGCACTGAACATGGGTGTTCAAATCGCGGCTCGCAAGCCTCATGCTGCTCCCTAGGGTCGCAAGTAAGACTCGCGACTCCTTGGTTAACCTAACCCTCCCCCCCTCTTTCTTGATGAAAAGGAAAAGCGTAAAAACACAGCTCGCGCTTTGCCAGTTTTGTGCTATCCTAGGCACATTACATAAGGTTCTTGTTTCTTGATCAGGACTCACAATAAGGAACCATACTGAGTAATCGCTTTAAGAGTGGAATTCGCCAAAGCAACCAATTGAGAAGCAAAACATAATAAAGTCGAACACCTCATTTTTATGGTTCTCCACATGAAATTGATTTCTTTATGGCTATTTGAATATGTCAGTTTGGCACTACCGCGCCTTTCATTGAGGCTGGTAATATTACGAAAGGTATGATAAATGATAAATAGACGATAGCATGTAGTAAAGTATTCAAGACTCTCCGGTATCTCCACGATATGTGCACTCTCAAGAGTGGGCGAAGATGGCGTTTTAGCTTTTTTTTTGGCACGGAAGAGATGCTTATGAAGCTATATATTTTGATAACTCCCAAAAAGATTAGTCGCCGCAAACTTCTTCAAGTGTACTCAATTTCCATAAGAGAAACAGGTGATTTTCTTTCCATTTTTAGCTTTACTTCCTCAGAGGCAGTGCCATCCCTTCATTTGCGAATTTTACATTATAAATATAAATGCTGAAAAATTAATTTATAAGAAAACGTCTTTAGCCTTGACTCATAAATGTTTCGAGGAAGATTTTTTTATCTCAAAATAAAAAAAAAGGAGCCACTAAAGGACAAACATAAATGCTTATCGTAAGGGTCGTTCATAAATATGAATTGAAAGTATCATTATCTCCGGCAGGTAAAGGGGATGTCTTGTAAACAGAAGAAAATTGCTTGAAGCACGTGTCGTTTGTTTTACTTTAGATAATTTATGTTGCGTCCTTCCTTGGGGAAGGAGGGTTGACAAGATATACAACAAAGAAGCCCCACGTTGCCCTTGAACATCGCTTTACCCTCTTAAACTTTAACTTGCCAAACGGCGAAGACTATGACTTGGTTCAGCCAGTCAACTTAGCGGAGTGAGGCAAGTAATAACTTGAAATTGGTGTGCGCATATTCCCTGGTGAGCTATCGCGCGTTTCGTTCCGTCGCTCGGGTTGGCTTGGGTCGTAGCGTTTGGTATTTGCCAAGTCAAGCTGAAACCAAGCATAGTATTGACGCAGCAGCATTCCCAAAATTAAAAACACATGTCGAAAAACTTCACTAGTTAGTACCCGTGTTTTAACTTTTGAAACAAGATTGATCGTTTAATTTTCGTGACGGAGGAAGTAGCCTAATGTATTATACGTTGCCGATTACAGGTCATCAGATGCTTTGGCGTCGTTGTCTTCAGCTACCTCTTAAGCTACATCCTGTTCTTGGCCTGTGAAGCGCCAACTGGCAGACTAGAGAAGATTTTGCTCACACCACTTCGGCCAAAAGCTGGTTTGGCCTCTGAATTGAACGGAAAACAACTCGTCCAGAAAGAAACAGTGTATTGCGCTAATGGCTTCAATGCTATTCCGGATGAGAAGCCAAAAGATAAGCTTAGTGGTGTTCACGAAGAAATCACCGGCGCTAAAAAGGTCCAGGATCCATTTTGTCACCTTTAGGCAGAAATGCGGGAATTTTAGTATTCTGATCGAGCTCCGCCAACTGTATAGTTTTCTTATAGTTATAGCATCAATTATATACATATTTTAAGGCTCACACTTTCCACAAAAATGTAAAGTTAGTGCCTGAGACCTATCATAACTAAGTGTATATATATAATGAAGTGCCGAACAAATATAAGGCTTGTATTGAACGCGGCTGTGGTTTAGTTTGTTTTGCACTAAAAGAAAGTGACTTTTCGCTTTTTTATTACATTCTATGGCGGTGTTTTTAGACAAACCTACTACTTTTTGGTAGTACATGCCAGTAATCTCAAATGCCTTGAAAGAAATCCCCGTAAGCTGTTGCATTTCATTCTTAATATACGGTGAAGACAAAAAAACACAATTTTGAAATAATGTAAACAATGCTGAATTACTTCAATATAAATGTTTTTTTTCTTCTGGGTAATTGATTTGTAGTGAATGTGTAACGTGTTTTGATAATGCAATAAAGATGAAAAAATTGGCTTGACCTGAGAAGTCGTCGATCGTGGGGAAGATTTATACGCACAAAACATAAATAGTACAAATCTATAGTACAATATTAAAACACTGGAATACTTTTTTAAGTAATAAAATAAATAAACTATAAAAATTATTAATCGTGCAGGTGACTTGCAGCACAAATCAAAAGCCCATCAATGTAACTTCACCATATATACACCGAGGTAAAGGTCTTGTTTATATCACCCGAACCATGAACAGAAAATAACGGGTTATTCCGTGTTTCAGAGCATTATTTTTATACTTAGTGGATTCCACACAGGCTCAAGAAACGAAGACATAGTAGTAGGGTGTAAACAGGACAAGGCGCTTACTCTCAACTAAAGTTTTTATTGAAAAGAAACACCGAAGTAAACAGCATTCTACACCATCACGGCGTTTCAGCACGTGTCAAGATAACATATCTCTTTGCTATGTAGAATGACCGGTGTTTGGCTTACACATTGTCCAGTCCCTTCTTCTTTGATCTTGTAGACCTCTAGGATTTCCATAGTCATCTGATCTCCCCCCTTCCAGCAATTGTGACATGATGGAAGTCGGATTGTCATCTACAATCTGCACAATGAAGCGGCTAGTGGCCGATCACTGTCGCTTCCGTTTCAGCTGCCGCTTCATTGTGCAGATTGCGGATGTCCGACTTCCCTCACGTCACAATTGCTGGAAGGAGGGGGGGGAGATCAGATGACTAGGGGAATTTTAGAGGTATAATACACGACGAAAAATGAAGGGACTGGGAGATGTGTAAGTCAAACTTCTGTCATTTTACATAGCGAAGAGATATGTTACCTCACACGTGCTGAATTGGCCATGATGTTGTGGAATGCTGTTGTTGACTTTGATGTTTCATTTCAATAAAAACTTCAATTGAGAGTAAGCGCTTGTCCTGTGTATATGATTCTACTTTGCCTTCGTTTCTTGTGCGCTGTGCCAAATCCACTAAGCATGATCAAATTGGCCCGCATCGCCAACCTAATTCCTTATATTTAACCTATTGTGCATGCTATTGACTACGAAATTGTTATGATATTAATATTTGTATTTATAGCATACAACCATGTACTCACAAAATGGAGTAGTAAAGCTGATAAATAAACTAACTGTCCCCCTGATTTTTTTTTTCTTTTTTGCAGGAAGATACAATGTTTGGCCTGTACATTGAGAATTAAAATATGTAGCGGCTGGAAGGCCTGAATAGACCTCTATGAATGTAGAATTAGTGCCTTAAAGCCGTTTTTTACCTAACACGCATAGCCTCACCAGGAATATTTAGCCCATTTAGGAGGAAAATTATCTCTAAAAATGTCGCTCACGAGACTGGACAGTAATTCTTGAAGTTGCCGAAGGACTGCACCACTATTCAAAGAATTATATCATATTCCTGCCTCTCGACCCAAGAAAAAAGACACCACAATGATGCTCGCCAGAAACTGTCAATTACAGGTGCAATTTTATTAACATAGTAACTTTACATCTCTTTCTGTGGAAATAGTTGTTTTATACAACTACAAATTTGCGCAGGCAAAACTCGTATTTTATTTCATTATTTGAAAAACAGTAGACACTCGAAAGAGGCCATTTGAAGAAGAAATCTTTGTGCAAAGTGCTGCAGGTTTGTTATTAATATAACATCTTAGCACCTTTCCCCGCTTTGTGAGTTGTCCTTGCAATCCCCTTTGCTAGAGGGTAACCATATTCCGAAGGTGAGTGACTACACTTAATCCAGTCGTTGAAATATTAGAATACGTACTCTGTTGAGCCAATCAGCTACATTGTGGGATATAGATGACCTACAAATATAGCAGGTAAGAGTTTCAAAAATTAGGCTAACTGTTAATGCTCTATCTTCCTGAGATGAAAAACGAATAAAACCCTGGAGAAGCGTTCCAAATAAATTGTAATGCGGACAACAAGAAGACACAGTAATTGAAAAGGATGTCCAAACAACTTGAACTAAAAATGTAGCGATGTTCTTCATCGTAGTAACAAGCCTTTTTTCTCACATCGTAACAACAGCGTGACACCATGCTGGACCCCAATGGGCACCCACATCTGGGCAAATGCCATTAAGACAACTGTGGTTTTTTAGTATTTTAATACGAGCATTTTTGAAGGCTCCGATATACATACTGCACGCCAAAAAAAAAGGGTCCTACCTAATTTACGTGTCTGGAGATCGGTTTGTTTGCTGGACTTCCACAAAAACACAAAACCGAACTTAAAAAAAACAAGATGTCAATTTTGTATAAAAGAAGACATAACATATGAGATAATGATGATTTTGGTCTTGCTAAAAAGACTTCCACTACAATAGAAAATATTTTAACGAAGACGTCGAAGCTTTATTAACGCTACCTTTACCATCTTGAAGGTCCTAGTTGTCACGCAAAACCTCTAGTAAATTTGGTAGGGCATATATTGCATGGAACTGGATATGAGTTAATCATTTCTGCAAAATAAAGATATGATCACAGATTCGATTTGAATGGTATCTGAGAAAACATCCCCGTTCGATGTTCAAAAACATCGCAGCGTTAGTGGAAAACATATCGCGACCACTACTAAGGGTGATGACTCAATTCAAAAACCCGTGTTAAGGCGTAAATATTAAGGCCGCACGCCCTTCACGGCACTGAATGAACTGAATGAAGACAAGGACAGCACAACGCAGGAAAGGAGCGAAAATGTTCCAAGTGTTCGTGACTCTGCGGATAAACCTATCATCAACATTTTTGTTCGCACACACCGCTTTGCATGACGCGATCGTTGTTCGGCGTGGTAAGGGGCTTGAAAATCTTCAAATCATTTTACCAACGCTGGGGTATTATGTCAATGCCACCACTCCAAAAGTTCAAGAGGAACAAAACGGAATACCTAATTTTGTTTTCCAATAATGTAACTATATAAGATAGGACATAAATGTCAAATTGTAGACAAACATTTATTGTAACGAACTTGTGCCTAAAACGTATAGAGAAATGAGCCAGCACCCTGTGCCTTCGCCGGGAAGGCTACTGTCTCGATGCAGCGCTTCACTGCTCCGAGACACGCATGTTCAGTAATGTTCCGAAACAGAATACTCAATGTCAGCTGAGAACAAGATGGAACATTCCAGAAGACTACAGAAATATAAAAGCGAGACCTTGGCTAAGTTGGGCTTCTTCGTTTGGCAGCCGCGTGGGTTACCAACGCCCTTGGCATTGCAAACTCTTTTTGAAGCAGTGGCCCGTTGCTTATGGGAAGAAAAGAACAAAGCAAATGTAATTAACCCCATTAAAATTGTCTTGGAATTTTTCCGGTTTATCAGTGTACGTGCCCCGTCGGGGACTTCGCTGTAGTCGTGATTGTCGTAAGACGTCCGTTATTTTCGTCTTTCGTCATCAGTGCTAGCGGTGGTCGGCACCACTAATCGTCGTTTGCCGCCGTCATTGTCGCATTCGTCGACGTCGTGGTTCACCTTCGTCAGCCGCCCTTGTTATCGCTCGTCGTGGTAGGTCATCGTGGTAGCTCGTCGCCATAAGACGTTATTGGAGTTCGTCGCGGTAAGTCTTTGTTGGAGTTCGTCGCATTAAGTCCACAATCGGAGGTTTCCACCTTAAGTCGTCGTCGTGTACCGTCGTCGTAAATTGTCGTCGTGTTTAGGTGTTGTTGTGTGTCATCTTGTTTCGTGGTCATAGTTTCACATAATCCTTCACAGCTCGATATCATTTGACGAGACTCGACTTGGTCGTTGGTTATTTTCGTCTTGAACCACTTGCGTTTGTTGTTTTTACCAAGAATCTTCGTCATTTTCTTTATGGAATCGCTGAGCGTCTACAATCAACGCTACCTAGACCCTCCAGCAGAATGTCACAATGAAAAACTCTAAAGGCCCATTCACATTGAGGAAACAAGGTGGCCAAATCAACTCACCATGTTCATCAACAAATAGTTAATTGTGATCTTGGTGGTCCTGTTGCCAGACAAACCTGTCACATTTCTGAAAGATGATTACAGGTGACAGCAACAATGGTTCATCTGTGTGACATCTTCCGGGAATAAGAACAGCAGCAGCTTTTGTTAAACGACGCCTGTTGTCCAGATCAGTGGATAAGTGAATGGTGTTCCGTAAACATGACAACACAGATAGCTCCGAAGGCGGAGTTCCCTATCAATTACGTTTTGCTAAGCTTCCTAATATAAAGGCTTGAAAAAAGCTTTTTTTTAAAGATTCATGAAGGTTCGCGCGCAGGTAAAACAATTTGATAAGCGTTTTTGCTCTCTAAATACAGAAAGGAAGTGTCAAATAGCTATGGTCATGAATGTTCACACAGTTTTTGAAATAAGAACTGCCCAGGGACCAACTCACATTACTGCTAGGAAAATAAAAAGGCACGTCAAGTCCCCACTGATAAAATTTAATATAAATTACTCACGAAAGCAAGCGATCAAAAAATTGAAGCATAAAAAAGACCGCT